GAGCAGGGTCCCCCTCGGTGCAGGTGGGGTCCCGGTGTGGCAGCCGCGCGTAGGGCCTCCCTGGAGGAGCAGGGCGAAGAGGAGGCGGGTGATTTATTCTGTGCCCTAATGACTGCTGCTAACGAGGCAGCCAGGGAGGGAAGGAGCAGCCAGGGAGGGAGGGAGCTTCCCGTGTGAGGTGCCGGCTGCAACTTCCCAGGCCCGCAGGAGGGAGCGGGGGGAGGCCCGGCCTGTGCCCGGCCTTGCTGCCAGGGCCCGGCCGCTGCCCCGGGGGGCGGGCAGTGCTTCTCATCGGGTGAGGCAATAAACCTCGGCGGCATTTCCAGACCAGCCTGGCCCGCTGTGGGGGTGAAGGAAGGCGGGTAGCAACCCTGATGCTTGGCAGAATGACAGATCCTCTCTGGTAACAGCATGCAGCTAGCTGACTCTCAACATGGGGGGGGAGGACATTTTCTACTCATTTTGAACCTAATGTGATAGTATTTGAGTAACGCAATCTTTTTCTCAGGAGTTATTTGGCCGCTGGTGAGATTACAGATCCTGCTCTTCTCCCCTGCATGGAAAGGGCTGTTGGCCCATCAGAGTTTAACGTGCAGGCTGTAATCTTAATCTGTTCCTCGTAGTCCAGCGACAAGCGCAGGCTCGATGCGTCTTGTGAGCAGAATCTTGTGGTAATGCGTTTCTTGGGCACGTCACATTTCGGTTCAAAATGCTCTTGTAAACATATATCACAAAACTTTGCTGAAAGGTTAAAATGTCTGTGTAGTATTGCCATGAGACTGACGATACCTTTTTTCTCTCTCTTTTTCTTTTTTTTTCTTTTATCTAAAAAAAAAAAAGTACCTAAAAAGTGGAAATACTTGAAAACTTACTACTAACAACAGGCTGTTTCTATGTGGTCCTTATTGCCTGGTTTACTGACATAAAGAGAATTACATTTATCACTGGCAGTCTTATAAACTATTTTAGTTTGGATATACTAGCTGTGATATTTTTATTTTTTTATGTTTCATTCTGTTTGACCAGTGATAATTAGCTAGCCAAGCTTTTTTTCCTGCCTAGAGTCAGTGTCCCATTTTGGTTCGCTCATGTGAAGGTGGTACTGGTGTGTTGCGGGGTGTAATCTTGCAGGAAAGTGTGCAGGGAGGGTCGTGTATCTGTAGCAGTGTTTGGTGGCTTTTATTTTTTTGTGTATGTGTGTGTGTCTCTTGTTTTACTTCTAAAGCAATATCTTAAGTTCTGTCCTTGCCCTGTTGAGCAAAAGTGGAAGTTAGATGCTGGGTACAAGCTTCTGCAATCAGTTACCCTTTTTAAATTTTTGTAACCTGAGACTCCTTATTCAGAGGAGACTAGGTGAAAAATCATAGTTACATTAAAAAAATAAATCGGAAGCATCCTCATGTCTTAGTATCAGTCAAAGAATTTCATGATTAAATTACAACAGAAACATTTACTTACGCAGTCACCTCCATAAAAAGCAGTGTTAATTAAATCTGTTACTGCCCAACCACAGGCTTCAACTAGAACCTCTTCTCTGCTGTCCCAGGTGTGGATGGAGAGCATGATACCATACTGTTATTCCCGCAGATATTCACGGAAGACACTGAGAGAAAGGAGCGGGAGCATACGCGATAGTCCTGTCTCGGCACAATACAAGTCTAGGTTTGAATTGTTGCCACCTTGAAAACTGGGCTGTATTTGAAATCTTAATAGTCCCCCCGAAATGATGTAACTTCACCTTTAACTAGTCCGTGGCAACAGGTACAGGTTTACAGAATAGCTTCTGGAACATTCTAGCACTCGAATGCAGCGTTGCGTTCAGCGTAACGCTCAGAGGCACTGCCCTGTTAATTGCAGGGTTTTGGTAGGCCTAATATTGCTGCACCAAGCCATATGGGGGAAAATACAGCCCAGTTCTTGTTCATAAGTTTTAGTTCTGTGGGTTTTTCCGCCTTCCCCAGAACCATTGATCTTGAAGATGGTGAGTAGCCAGCCTAAGTACGATCTAATACGGGAGGTTGGTCGTGGCAGTTATGGTGTGGTGTACGAAGCAGTCGTCAGGAAGACCTCTGCACGGGTCGCGGTGAAAAAGATTCGGTGCCATGCTCCAGAGAATGTGGAACTAGCTCTGCGTGAGTTCTGGGCACTTAGCAGTATCAAGAGCCAGCATCCCAACGTCATTCACCTGGAGGAGTGCATCTTGCAGAAAGATGGTATGGTGCAGAAGATGTCCCATGGCTCCAGTTCCTCCCTTTATTTACAGGTACATGAAGCTGAGGTAATGGGGTGGAAGTAATTAATATGGATGTGTAGCTGGGAGGGAAGGAGGTGGGTAGCTAAGATGTTTTTTTTGAGGTATGCTTAGTTAGGAGAGGGTGGTGTTCATGTTGTTGACACCCAAAAATTATTATATATCTTTAAAAGAGCATATCTATTGAACAATCACCTGTATCTTGTAATTTGAAGCCATGCCTGGAGTCTAAAAGACTCCAGGATTTTTTTTAATGCAAATTTGAGAATTTGAGGAAACACCACAGGTAAAGCACAAGGGAGGTGCAGGTGTTTATCACTTGGTAGAAGCCCTGCTGCAGGGTTAAGGAGCAGGCATGTATGAATGTCTTGAGACAGAACTCTGAAGAATTTCTTAATCTCGGATGTCCTTGGAAGAGGAAGTAACTGTCTTGATTTAGGAAGCCAACACTTAAAATTCTTTCAGAAATAATAAGCAATTGCTAGCATGTGGTGAGCGGTTTTCTTTTTTGAATAACTTAACTGTTAATCTCTTCAAAGAGAGGTAAAGGTGTGATAAATAAGGGAATAAGTATCACTCCCCTGTGTGGCTACTGAAAGCGTCCTCTAAGTTTGAAGATGCGTATTTTTGAAGAATGCGTAGCTCTGGAAAGACTTTGAAAGATAATCTGATTCGTTCCCTTGTCAAGAAGCTGCCCCAGCTATAAATCATCCCCTGGCAGGAATTTGTGTCTCTGGTTTAAAAAGTCAGTAGCCTGCTCAGTGTTTATTGTGTTATCCCGAGTCAGCTTTTTTCATTTCAGTTTTTATTGTTGTCATTCTTGCATGTCTAATGTAGGACCTTTTGTTAGCGAACATTCATCCAACAACCCTTCACGGCTGTCCAGGTCCTGTTGTGCTGAGTGCTGTACGAGCCTGAGAAAGAGGATTCTTGCCTTTGTAAACTCGCTGTAGCTTGGGAGTTGTTACTGACCTGCTTTCATGAAGGGATTAGGGTAAAATAATACTGGCTAGCTCATGTGGGAGAAATCAGTGCCTCACCTTCCTAGTTGTTCATGGGTCTGTGAGAGATTGCATCAAACTTGCAGATGGCTGTACAGGGAAGAGCTGAAGAAAAAGTGGTGGAACTGCAAGGTGGGGAAGAGCTTCCAGATCACCTGCAGCATTGGGTTTGATGGTAGTGCCTGTTAATGCAGCACGCAGATCTTGCCCGTGCCGGGTGCAAGCACTGCAGATTGTTTTCCTGCTCCAGAGAGCAGAGAAGAGCAAAGGGCAGAGCTGAGCTGACTCTGAAGAGACCGGGATCACTTTATAATAGCGTGTGCTAAAATAGAGAAAATCAGATCTCCCTTGGCTTGCCCTCTCCTCTCCCTGCCCCAGGTGATATTGTGTTACAGAGCTGAAGGGGTGCAGTGCGGGGGGAGGCTGGCCAGGGCCGGGGGTATTAGTGTCTCCTGAAGGGCTTTGGGGCAGAAGCTTAGCTGGTGCCAGCTGAACAAAGTCAGTGAAGTGAGAGTCCTAAGCTAGCCTGGTCCTGTGGTCTTTTGCCACCGTCACACATGTGGTGGTGGATGTTGTTGGTCTGGACGCTCTGAGCTGAGATGCAAGTACAGCTCCTGTGAAGCCGTGTGGAGGGAAGCCGTGTGTTGGTGCTCGCTTGGCGAAGGAGGCTCCCTGCTGTCCTCTGATACCTTAATCTCACTGTTACTGACTGTAAACCCTAAATACGTAGTTTTCTAGTTCTAACTTGAATTTACTCTTAAGTTGGTCTGGTTTGAATACTAGTTGTGCTAGCAGTTAAAGATAGCTGTAAATTGCTAGTAATTTTGCTCTTGGATGGAAAAAGTTGTTTTTTTTAAAGCACCTTAAAATGCCTCTAAATATTAATAGCTACTTTAAATTTTGAAAGCCTGTGGGAGCTATGTTTGGTTTACCATACGTTGGTTTACTACTAACAGAAATAATTGCAAGACTTACCTTCCAGAGCATGCTAAGAGCCACCTCAGAGGAGCTGAAGAGGTAAACGTGTAGTTGTGTATACAGGATTAGTTAAAACTGATTGCTGGGTTTACTTTGCTTTTTCTATGAAGCAGCTATTAGAACTGGTTGCTGGATCTACTTGCTGCTTATATTCTAGAAAATAGCTGGTGGATCACGATGGTGGGAGAGGTGTTATGTGCAGCAGCTGTCAGCTGTGCCGGTAGATTAACATTCTCCTGAGTAAAGGGACCCTGTGTTAACACTTCCTAGAATATGTTTGTGTGTCAGGAATGGAGAATAAGCTTTAAAAATCTATTGTGGTGCTGCTTCATCAGCAGAGGAAGAACACAACCCCCTGGTGCTGTACGAAGTTACTTGTTGAGGCTTTGTTTATACATTCAAGTTGTTAGCGAAATGGGTGGGACGGCCTTTGTTGGGGTGGGACGCTGTCCAGCTGAAATTGAGGGTGTGCAATGGCCACTTAGTATCTTTAAAAATACTGTTATCTGGGTCTAGCTCTAGCTTCTGGGCAGGAGTGTGAACTTGATATGCTTCACATGCATAAAAGTAAGTAGGCTGTCAAATACATTGTGATTTTTTTTTTTTCTACATCATAAATTTCACATAGTTTTATTTTCACCAGTTGCAATATCATGCTCTCTGGGTTGTCAAGAGGAAGATCCAAACTTCATGCATTTGTCCATCATCTCTCTATTCTTGTGACCATCAGGTAGTTATGATGTTTCTTTTCCTTATTGCAGCTTGTAGAGACCTCATTAAAAGGAGAAATAGTCTTTGACCCCAGAAGTGCTTATTACCTCTGGTTTGTCATGGATTTCTGTGACGGAGGAGACATGAATGAGTATCTGTTGTCCCGAAAGCCGAACCGCAAGACCAACACCAGTTTCATGCTTCAGCTCAGCAGCGCACTGGCGTTCCTGCACAAAAATCAGATTATTCATCGTGATCTCAAACCTGACAATATTCTGATATCTCAGAGCAGGATGGATGCTAGTGACTTGGAGCCTACCCTGAAAGTAGCTGATTTTGGGCTGAGTAAAGTATGCTCAGCCTCAGGACAGAACCCTGAGGAACCAGTCAACGTAAATAAGTGTTTTCTGTCAACTGCATGTGGGACTGACTTCTATATGGCCCCCGAAGTCTGGGAAGGACACTATACTGCCAAAGCAGACATCTTTGCATTGGGGATTATAATCTGGGCAATGTTGGAAAGAATGACGTTCATAGATACGGAAACAAAGAAAGAACTTCTGGGGAGTTACGTCAAGCAGGGGACGGCGATCGTGCCTGTTGGAGAGGCGCTTCTAGAAAACCCTAAAATGGAACTGCTCATCCCCGTAAAGAAAAAATCCATGAATGCTCGAATGAAACAGCTGATCAAGGAAATGCTGGCTGCCAACCCGCAGGACCGGCCCGATGCATTTGAGCTAGAACTGCGATTAGTCAACATAGCTTTTAAAGACAGCAGCTGGGACACGTGACCTGCCGAGCCGTGTCTCTCTTGATAGAGCTCCTTATCGCCTAACTGATGGTGCAACTTCATGTCAGTAAAAGAAACGAGCCTGAACTCAAACCTGCGGGGTGTAGTTTCTACCAAACGAATCTCTTCTGAGTTTCATAAATGACACGAATGTTGGGTTGGCCGTTGTGTTAATGATGTGTATAATACCAGGACGTTACATGCAAGTGCAAGATGTGCCGATGTTCGTTTGCGTATGCTGGCAGTAGGATGTCTTAAGAGCTGAGACTTTATTTCCAGCACTCTCTCGCGGAGTATTTCGTACATTCCAGCTTCCTATGTCAGTATTAGGAACTCTCATGAAAAAGAAAAAAGATTTGCATGCTGGTAGTGCAAATCTTGAGGCTTTGTAAAGTAATTCTGTGTATATATGTATACGAGTGACTGGGAGTGTATGCTACTTAAATTATTTGCTATGGGTCTGAATGATTGGGGTCTGCTAGAAACCTAGGTAAAGAAGATAGATGAGAAGCATTCCTTCTTCTCCAGGCCTGAATAACTTTATTATTTATTTTTGTTATCTAATGTCAAAGATGGGGTCTGAGACTTGACTTTGTAGACAAAAAATGCAATGCAAGGGGATCAGCAGGTTTTTTTTTTTTAAAGCGCTGACATGGCCAAGCTTAGCAGCTACAGCCTAATGAGCTTGTCACTGAGGGAGTCAAATCACAAATGTATGTAATCAGGTGCTAGTATGTTGGCTAGCTCACTAATAATTTGATTTTTGCTTTCTTCTAGTAGTCAAATACTTTATTAATCAGTTCATCTACAGTTTCACAACATCCTCTCTGCTGTTGTACCTATAATCCAATAGCACCTTGGGTACTTCAAATAGGAGAGTATGATGAGCTGAGTTTATGGAAACGCGGGTGAGGGAATCCGGCAGCACAGAACGTTATTTTTAAGAGTCTTCAAAATATGGTTGCAGCACAGTTTTCCTGTTAACTGACTCTAATAATGCTGGTCATGGTCGCTTCCTTTCTGGCACTGACTCTGACCTGGTAGTGATGAGGAGATAAAGGGCTGAGTGTTTGTCTTGGAGAACACACCTCTTCTCAAACACAGGAGAGCTCAGTAACCGGTACGTGAAAGGCATCTGCGGTTTGTGTGGCACCCTTGGCTGATTTTTTTTTTTTTTAAATTTGTTTTCTTCCTTTTAAAGAAGTAATATTTATTTAAAACCTCGGACAGTAGGATGGAAAGCTTTGAAGTAGTTGAAAGGCTGCTTATCCCCAGCTCCTGTTCCACAGAAGCAGATTGATCTGCTAAGAGAGGTTTCGCAGAGGCCACCTGACACTGTACAGCAGACAGGAGCTGCTTTGTAATAATACAACACTGTTCTTTTGGGTGCAGGACTGTGACCTTTCTCATTAATTTGACCTTTTGGAAGAAGTAAGAGTCTTAAAAAAAAAAAAATTGCCTTTAAAGGCAGATATATTAAAGCTGCAACAAAGGCTGGTTTTTTAATAAAATCAATTTAACGTGTTTTCCTAAATCTTACCTGAAAACTGCCCTAAGTATTCACTCGTGTAACTTGCTTCTCGGACACTGTTCCCTCTCAGTGCTGAGAGAGCAGTTTTGATCAGTCAGTGCTTATTCTGCCTGAGCGAGAATAAACATCAGGAACAAAATTATTTTTTTTGTTCTTCTAAAAGCAAAGGTTTCTGATTCTACCAAGCTTCTGAGGCTTTACAGACTACAGCTGGTTCTTGCTGGTGGTGGCAGTTCCCCTGGGGCCCTTAGTCCTTAATTCTTGTTATTTTGCTTACTTTATTGTTTAAGGCAAGCTGTCTAAACGGTGATTCTCAGACAAATAACACTTTGCTGTCTCAAAACAATGTTTATTGTTTAGAAGATGCTCTAGGAGTAACTTCCAGACAGTGTCCCTGAGAACAGCAGAGCCCCTTTGCTTCAGCGTAGGTTGGCAGGGTCGGAGGCGACTGCATCGTGCCGAGGGTAGAGCCCGTTGCCTGCGTGAATGTCCCAGTGTTGCTCCTTCCCTGCGGAGAGCTCAGCCTGTAAAAGAGGACTTGGAGCTTATCTGTGAGTAAGGACGAGGGGAGATTGATTTATTCTCATGTTCTAGAAGTGGAGATCTGTTTGTTCTCATATTTTAACTGAGTTCAGTACAGTTGAAGCCTCAGCTTGTTGCTGAAAGGAAGAAAACAAATCTCTCGCTGTCTGTGCCAATGCTCTTTCACAGTACTTACATTTCAGCGTGGTCATTCGATGAGTAACGTTCTAAGAGCTTTTTATAATTTGTCCATGTTAAACCGGAGAGCTTTTAAAAAATACATTGCGAACAACTTCTTCTGCCCACCCAAAAGTCAGAATCAACTACATTATCTTAAAGTACGAATCTACTACAGAGTAATACTACTCACCTTTGAGGCGCTTTGCAAATCACCTGATTCTTCTCTGAAGTATTTCAAAGGGTGAACACCAAATGCGCTGCCCGCAGAAATGCAAGCTAGTGAATGGCACGGGAAAGAGTTTTTTAGTTTTGTTTTCTTGACTCCCGAAGTGTTTCTTTGCACTGATTGCCACTTTAAAGGGTGGGGGTACCCGAAATCCCTCTCATGGTGCTTAGCCTTGCTGTTGGGTGACACTGAGTGTTTCCTTGGTTAACACTGAATGGTAGTCCTTGAGGTCTGTGTTCTGTTTGATTTTTGTGTGTGTGTGGTGTTGTCTGAGGTCTTTGTTTTAAAAACCTTCGATAAATCAAATCGTTGTAGCAGCTACAGAGTTATTCACCAGCGTGACACAAAGTCAAGATACTTTTCAGCACTCAAGAGATTTTTTTTTTCAAATCTTTCTTTAAAAACTGTAAAATATATTTTATGGAGAATTTATAATGAGGAAAATTATTGTGTAGTTTATTAAGTTCATGACTTTTTGAAATAAAATCTGAATTTCGATGAAGCATTTGAACTTTCCACAGAGAAATGCTTTCTTTGCAGTCAGCACAACGTCGTCTAGCTGGCAGCAAAGCTACGGAAGGGTTGATTTGCTGTGCTAGGACAGAAGTAAGCTGTAGGACTTCATCACCGTTGTACTGGAAGTGATCCTAGGCGTCTAAAAGATGTTGGACTGGCGAATAGCTGTGCTGCTCATCCTCTGTGGGTAGCGGCAGTGCGGAGCTTCCACTGATGTGTAATGGGCTGCTGGAGGACTTGACCGAGCGAGGCCAAATGGGGTGTGAAAACGGAGCTGCCTCTTGGACTGGTTGAGGTGAGCCATATCCGTGTGGACCCCACGGCTTCTGCCCAGCCCTGTAGGAATCAAAACGGTACTCTTGTGGGTGTGCTTCACTTTCAGAGAGGGGATTAAAGGGTAAAAAAGCATTCTTGCATCCAGTACATGCCTGAAGTTGTTATTACAAGCGGAGCGAGTACCACCCTGGGCTGTAAGGAAATCTCTGGCAGGCTCTGCCTACCCTGCTACTGGTACTACTGGATTTTTGAGGCTGCAAATAGATGCTGCTGCACTCCTGGGCACTGACGCTCCTCCCACTGAAGTGAGCCTTTCCCCTCTAGTTCCTGCGTGTGCCAGAGTAGGATTTCACCCCGAAAGCGGCAGTCCTTGTGTTGTGGGTGAGCCCCATTGCCCCCCTGCGCAGAGGGCTGAAGGCAGCCCTGTGAACGTGTGTTCTGCTCCCCTTCCCTCCTGCCTATGTGGGCCGAGTGCTGCTGGCTTTGTCTGGAGCAGGCATGTGCAGGCTGTTGGGGCAGCTCCTGGGGCTGAACTGGGTGTAAATGGTCCTCTGGAGGTTTGAGGGACAGTGGCCTGCTGTCTGCTGTGCCCCAAGAAACCTTAGAAATAAAGGCGAGGAAACACCATTACTTATACATGATACAAGACTCTGGGAGTCATTTGCATGTTTTAATTAAGTGCTCTGGAACAAAGGGTTGTGCAGACTGGGAGTGGGAATAGCACAGACTGGAAATGCTGTAAATTGTTTTCTTTTCTCATTTGTTACCCCCGCAACAAACCCAAGCCCGGTCCTCTCCTGTGTGCCGTACGCTTGCATCGTCGCCTGTGGTTTCCTGTGTATCCTGGAGCCAGAAATAGGCAGATTCCCCACCTGGCAGGAGCAGTGTGGTTAAATCTGTAAGTCAATGCAGTCGTTGCGAAAGGGAAAGGGATTGAAATTTAGATATATATATTTTTTTTTTTAGTAAGGGGTAAGCACCTTAATTAAAGGAGAAAGTCACACCTCCTTGATTAGTTTTAAGAGTGGTGACTTTAATAGACACAAGCCAAATTCCTCCCCCACAAAATGAAGAAAACTGTCCCTATGTACTTGAAATATATCTAATGCATGGAGGGGAGGGTGGAAATGGGCAAGAAAATGCCCTGGTGCAGAAACCTAAAGCTGCACCTCAGCTCAAATAACCCAACCTCTGCTTATTTTCCTTGTTCTACAGAATGCTGAGGCCTTGGGCTCCAGCTTGCCCATCCTGTTTCCTTGGGCAGGGGCTTGGCTTAGGCAATCCCTGCTCCGCAGCCCTGGGCTTGGGAACTCGCCTTGTTTTGGTTTGTTGGGTTTTGGTGGTTTTTTTTTTTTTTTTTGCTTTGTGTTGGTTTTTAAACAG